GTTGTCCTCATTAAAAGACAAGATTTTAAAGTCAAGAATCTTGAAAAAAAAAAAAGTATCCATAGTTCTGGAGCTTTAATTGTAATATTCGTTTTGCTCTTATGAAGGCGAAGTAAATTGTTTATATATGAGATTATTTAATGACAATTTCTTGAAATTATGCTAACTTACTTAGTTGGTTAAAATGTTTATAAATAAAACACAGAAAAAATATGTTAATAAACTTTTAAAATTATTTTATTTTGTTAATTTGTTTTATCATTTTTATTTATTCATTTATTTATTTATTTATTTTCATAGATAGATTTTAGCCTGGAAAATATGGGATATGATTATTACGTTGTACATCTGGAGAAAGAATTTATGAAGATTATATTTGCTGAAGCAAGTGTTATGGAATGTCAAACGTTGCAATATTCAATCTTTTCCAATAGTATTCTATAATTTTTATTTGTGTTCCATAATTTTTCATTTGTATTCTATAATTTTCCATTTGTATTGTATGAATTTTATTTGTATTGCCTATTTTTCCATTTGTATTGTATAATTTTTCATTTGTATTGTAAATTTTTTTTTATTTATATTGCGTAATTTTCATTTTATAATTTTCCATTTCTATTGTATAATTTTTCATTTGTATTGTATAATATGCCATTTGTTTTGTATAATTTCAATTTATTTGTATTCTATAATTTTCTATTTGGATTCTATAATTTCCCATTCAGATTGTATAACTTTTATTTGTATTCTATATTTTCCATTTGTATTGTAAAATATCATTTGTATTGTATTTTTTTTTATTTGCATTCTTTATTTTACATTTGCATTGTGTAGCTTTTTATTTGTAATGTACATTTTCTTATTTGTATACGATAATGTTTTAGTTGTTTTATATCCGAGGGATTTGATTATTTATTTCGTTACGAAGGATTTCATTGGTCTAATTTTAGTCTATAAACACAGTGTTAATACAAGCGAGATGACATATAAAGGCATAATTTTCTACCCGCGCTTAGCATTCTTGTGACGGTACATATTGTCGTTTTGTACATATTGTCGTCGGCGACAATATGTACCTACCCTCACTGCACATGTTGTCGTCCATCGGTACGTATTGTCGCCGACTGAAAAGTTACACATGTACATATTATCGGTGAGTGCACCGGTGCTACAACTGTCTTGTTTTCGAGAAGATTTTTAAAGATTTTCTGATATATTCCTATGTAAAACTTTGATCACCCATTGTGGCCCCACCCTACCCCTGGGATCATGATTTTAACAAAAATTGATTTTGTTTCCGTTTGTTTGTTTGTTGTTATAATGTCCATCTCGAGAATTTTTCATTCGTATATGTAGACGTCACCATTTGCCAGTAGAAGGCTCCTTGGCACTCAGGGGCCCGTTTTACAAAAGAATTTACGACTAAGACCAAAAGTTTGGTTGATTGTAAAATCTTGCAAAATGAACGATTCTGTTAAAAACTGCTTGCATAAAAATATCTTTCAATTTTTTTATTTAAAAGATTAAAGTCATTTTTAAATTAAATGCACATTATAAAGTTATTCACAAAATTACATTTTGGTCTTAGTCGTAAGTTCTTTTGTAAAACGGGGACTAGGGTCATTGAGCAGTGAGGGATCTTTTTCATGCCAGCACCTCCAAAATGAACGTACGCTATTTTATGAAGCTTTCACATAAGTATCATCTCTTCTGACCCAGTAGTTCTTGAAAAAAAGAGTTTGAAAGAATTTTTTCTAAATATTCTATTAAAAAACTTTGATCACCTATTGTAGCCACACCCTACCCCCAAGGGACATGATCTGAACAAAACTGAATCTACACTTCATAATGAAGCTTTCACATAAGTTTCAACTTTTCTGACACAGTGGTTCTTGAGATTTTTAAAAGATGTTACTAAATTTTCACTTATTCTTAACTACTTCCCTTGAAAGAGGGCATGGTCCTTCGTTTGAACAAACTTGAATCTCCTTTATCCATGGATGCTTTGTGGCAAGTTTGGTTTAAATTGACCCAGTTGTGAATTTGAGTTTGTGTAATTGTGAAAAGTTTACAGACAGGAGGACGGTCAGACAAAATGTAATCAGAAAAAACTCACTTGAATTTCCACTTCAGATGATCTCAATTATATCGGCACGTGATTGTATATAAAAATAACGCAAAAAATAATTTCCAAATAATTATTAATATTGAACAAAAACACTAATACATATATTCAATCTCCAAGTAAAATGAATAGGCTGATTTATCAGATATCTCAAGAATTACGGTATCTTGATATATCATAGTGATGTACATCAGTCCTGGACAGTTTTCTGAACAAGAAGTTTTCTCCCTACAGTATTGCGAGTAATGCTGTCTTGTCTCCCTCCGTGTGTGTGTGTTTGTCAATCTCTCTTTCCTTTCTCAAGTAAATATTCGTCAAAACAATATATCGACGACAATATATACCAAACTTTACTGCACAAATTGTCGCCGACGACAATATGTACTGGTGCTTGACTGTACATTTTGTCGTCCATTATTCAGGAGCAAAATAAGGCTCGTCTCGGTACATATTGTCGCCGACGACTATATGTACCGATGGACGACAATATGTGCAGTGAGCGTAGGTAAATATTGTTGACGACAATATGTACAAAACGACAATGCATGTATGTACCGTCACAATTTTCCATCCGGAGTTGTCGTTCCCGCTACGCCCCTAATAACACCCCTGTAAACGCTTGTTATATACAAGATTCTTGGAAAATTTGTAAAAGATGAAAAATTGCATTAATTATCGATTTTTATTAAATTTCTTATCGGTAAACAGGATTTATATTCATCTATTAACATTTAAAAGGATTTTTTAATTAAATTTTTAATATTTACTCCGCAAAATAGTTAAAAACTATGAAAACTATGAAAATAAATCGTTTTGAGGGATGATAGATTCAAAGGAAATGATAAATTATCATCTTTATCTATAATTACATAAGATAATTACGATTTTAATTTCAAATTTTTGCCGTATAAAACTTGTACAAGAATCTTGTACAAATAGCGTTGACAGAGGTGTTGGTAGCGTAGCGGCAGTCAACTCTTCAACAAACTTGAATATCGTGCAGAAGTGATTTCCTCCCTCCCCCCCCCCCCCTCAAATAGTTGTTTTTAAGAAGATTTTCAAATGCCCTCACAAGAGTAAGTGGCTCTTAATTCATTTGAATAGAATTGAATCCCTTTTATTTAAGGATGTTCTTTGGTAAGATTGCTTGAGTTAGCACAGTGGTTCTGGGGAAAAAGTTGAAAATGTGTAAAGTATACTAACGGCATACAGTAGACAGGGGTTACGCAGTAAACTCTTTTATCAGAAGGCTTACTTGAGCCTTCCGCTCTGGAAAGTAAGACACCGATAAGTTTATTTATGGCATGTACCAATAGCAAGAGGATGTGACTGTAACGTCGAAAATCAGTTCATCTAAGAATCAGAGATCCTGCAGATCCAGACTGGGTGCTAGTGGGATAATACCCATCTCCCTGATATACAGATACTGCGTTTCCAACATCCCCTTGCCTCAAACGAAATAGCATATTTATACAATGGAATTCCGTGGCTTTGAACTCAAAACTATCTCCTCTCTTACGGAACAGCAGTTTTTACATGTATGTTTGATAATTGTTCCTTGTAAATTTCCATTTGTTTTCTGACCAGCTGAGAGATTATATATTATGTCATGAAAACAATCAATCAAATAACGTGATAATAGAAGTGCGTATAAATTGATGATTTATAAAATCGATTTTAAGGTGTTTGCATGACTTTTAGCATATATAATTACCTGGTACTGTTAAACATGTATATTTAATACGATAATAAGGACAAGCTGATAAAACTGAAGTGTACCATCTTTCAAAAATAAGTATCTGCATTGTCAGATTGCTAGAGAAATTAATATATTTTGAAGGGTATTATCACAATAACAATAATATTAGGATCTTTTGAGTTTTGAGCAGTTGCATTGGATAATAATCTAAGCATTTAATGATTTCTGTAAACGTATAAAAGAATATTGTTGTAGAGTCTGATCATAAGCCACTTGAGATTATATACATGAAGAATTTACACAGTGCACCAAAGAATGTTGTTGAGACTTCAAAAATTTGACTGTGAAATACTGTACAAAAGAGGTACTGAAATGTACTTTGCTGAAACTTTATCCAGAGCATATCTTAAAGGTCAGCCAGAGGACCTAGAGGAACTGGACCCTGTAGAAGTACATAATGTAGATTATAAAGAGTATCTACCAGTGTCTGAACAATGCATTGCGGAAATCAGGAAGGCAACAGTAAAGAGATGAAACAATTGATATACTGAAAGGGGTGATCAAAACTGGATGGCCTAAGACAAGGGCAGAAGTTCATACAGAAATTCAGACATATTTTCCATTTGGGGAGGAACTTGTTCAAAATGGACTCATTTATAAAAGTGAATGTATTGTAGTTCCTACAGAAATACGCAGTCACCTTCTTGAAAGGATCCACAACTCTCACATAGGGATTCAAGGATGCCTACGAAGAGCTTACTGCCCAAATATTGCTTAAGACATAGAATTTCTTTTTCGTAAATGTGAGGCTTGCAACACCCCCCTTGCTTGTCAGGGAATTTTTGCTTTATTGTGCCCACCCAACTGAAAATGTTTGATCGCACCCCCCCCCCCAACACTGAAATTGCTTCCTACGGGCCTGCAATAATGTGTAATGAACAGACACGCACACATGGCCAATCTTTCAAATACTGCGACACATCCCCCAATATGACAAAGAGTATTTCAAATATTTGATTGATAGTTTTTATGACATAATCTCTCAGCTGGTCAGAAAACAAATGCAAATTTACAAGGAAACAATTATCAAACATGCATGTAAAACTGATTTTCCGGTAGGAAATTAAAGAAGATTGTTTTAAGTTTAAAGCCCTGGAATCCCTTTGTATGAATATGCTATTTTGTTTGAGGCAGGGGGATGTTGGACAAGCGGTTTCTGTATATCAGGGAGATGGGTATTATCCCACTAGCACTCAATCTGGATCTAAGGGATTTCTGATTCCTAGATGAACTGAGTTTTGACGTTACAGTCACATCTTCATGCTACTGGTACATGAAATATATGGAGATAACAAAACAGTATTCAAGCTCAAAAGTCCATTAAACAATTCAAATTTTGGAGCAGAGCAAAGATGGACCTCTAAAACATCAGAGATGGGATCAGGTGCCATGGAGGAGTGAGCATCCCCTGCCGACCGGTCACACCCGCCGTGTGCTCCTGGTCGTGATCGGGAAATAACGGGAAAAAGATCTGTCGACAATTCAGTGCGTATACGTATACTGCGTCCCTTTGTCTAGTGTTTGCTGTTAGTATACTTTATACATTTTTTGATTTAAAAAGCTTGAATACTTAAGTCTTTGGCTCAGATGAGTTACGTTTGTTCATGGCATGCGCAAACCACAAGAGAAAGGGACTGACTATGAATTAGGCAGTTCATTTAGGAAAAAGGTTGATTGATTGTTGTTTTACGCACATTGCGAGAATTTTTGATCACCTCACCATATACAGACAAAGGGCTTCAAATTTAAACTTATTCTCGGCCATTGAGCAGTTACGGTTCTTCATCGTGCCTTGCCTACCGAGAACCGGGATCTAAGTGTTTAAGGTCATATCCGAAAGATTCATGATTTTCACTTTTAGTGGCGGGCACGACGAAGAAACAATCACTACACTTGTTTTATGTCATAGGTTTGATATCACAAGTATTACTGTTGTATCCATTCAATCCAACGGTTGATGCTAGTGATATTGTAATTTATTATATACCCAACTGTTTGTCACTCAGTTTTACTGTTGAATTTATGCAATTTATGACGGTGTGATCCGACGTTCCGGATCACCACACTGTGGTTTTCTGAATCCATATCACCCCTCTCTGAAACTGATGACGTAGTACACAGATAAATGACGTTTTTATTCTCGCGCTTCAAAAAGTTCCTTGAAAAAATGGTTTGTTTAATGTATAAAAGTTATGTAATTTATTCAGAAAGTTACCTTTTATTACATTTTGCTAGTTGTAAAGGGGTATATAATAAATTTATCATTATAACAGTAACTTGATCCGAAGAGCCGTATCACGTCTCGTTGACAGGCGCGGATCATCAGATCAAACGAGACGCTTCGCGTCTCGTTTGATCTGATGATCCGCGCCTGTCAACTTGACGTGATACGGCTCTTCGGATCAAGTTACTGTTATAATAATATATATATAAAATAGGATTGAAAGAAATAATTGTCTCTCATCCCTTGGTCCCAGACAAAATAGAATCTTTCAACAATGGAATTCTCAAATAGCACTTTTATGTTTAACACGGTATATTGCCTTTGCTAGCAAGTATTTTTCTTTTGTTAAATTGTTACATTTGAGGATTTGTGTTTGCTTTCTAATCAATTGAGACTGACGTTAGTTGACAGAAATGGAATGCTACGAAGTTATGTTAAATCAAAAATTGTTCTAAATTGACATAATAACCATTTATAACTCAATATCAATTTAAAATGAACTTTTTTAATATTTGAGGAAAATATGCAGGAACAAAAGTAAGTTTATGGTGATGAAGATTATATTTGGACCAAATATTAATTTTTAATTTTTTTTTCACATTTTTTTTTTCTTGCAATATAATTGATAAAGTTAAAATTCTGTGTTTTTGAACACCATTTTGCAAATAGTATGTGTGATAAAGCGCAATGATTTGTTTGAACTAAAATAATGGCATGCGATGAAGAATGATACATCAATGTGTAGCCTCAAATTGGACGATTATGTTATGTAGCGTGACACATGTTGTTTTTAGATGCGATGAATCCAGCTTTTCCAATGTCAACTTCTTATTTCTGTAGCAATATTCCAATATCACTTTAATATGGTGTTATGTCTCTTATAACTCATTCGATACCCAATGGCATGCGCCATTGTTGGTCATTTAAGTTTAATATATATTTTATTCAATTCAATGAAACGTTGGTCGTTTTTATGCCTTTGTTAGCAAATACCACAGATCACTGGGTAGTATTTTGACTGACATATTTCATATTAATTGTTAGGCCTTGTTTTTATATTAAATTTGACTAAGGGTTATTCCGCCTATCTGGTCAATACATAGAGCTCACAGCGGGTGTGACCAGTAGACAGGGGATGTTTACTCCTTCCAGGCACCTGATCCAATCTCTGGAATTTCTATGGGTACGTATTTTATGTTTTTATTTATTTACTTTTTCAAAGAGACTTGATATTGAAACGTTCCATTTTTGGAATCAGTGTAACTTGATTTATTATAAGGTATTTTTCTTTGTTGCCATATTGGATTTATACAAGCCCGAATTCCTTCATTATTCAACCAACTTAAACTTGTCATACTGGGCAATTGGGTGAAGATAACACAATTTTTCTTACGAATTTATGTTAACATAAGCTTCCTTCAGTTCGTAATTTTAGTATTTTAAAGATTTTTGCCCTTATTTCTGCCATTCAAGTTTAAAATTGGTTGCTCAAAGAGGAGAATTCGCTCGTTGGACCTCCGATATGGCGGCCAACGGGAAATGACTCTTGCAAAATTCAGGCCTGTCGAAAACTATATATTGTGTTTCTCAAAACTTCATAATAAAACACATACATATAGTGTAATGCTTAAAAAATCATAAGTAACATGTAAATTCTATCAGATTAAATAATAGACACAGTAAAAGATGATTTAAATTTTTGAAAAAAAAAGAAAAGAAAATAAAGAAGAACATGAAAGTCCAATAAACATTTATCTTTTGTGTTAAATACAGTTCCTTTATACAAGAAAGACTTTGTGTGTTTTGTGTACACTGTATGTATAAAATCATTGAACATATGTTTTATTTGTTCGTTGTAGGCTCAATGCTTCGTTAATTTACAAAAATTCAATAATAAGAACCAGAGAACCAAAATATCAACCTAAGTAAAATCTTTGGACTTAACAATCTCTCTTTTCTGCGCCCTTTATTAAATACATGAACGAACAAGTATTTCTAGAAAATCAATAAATTTTTATTCTCCTTGTTTAAATTTATTGTTAATTTATTGATTTCCTGATCAATATTCTTTATTAGTGAATAATTAAGAGTTACTGCGTCAATTATAATATTTATTTTTGATTCGTATTGGACAGACGAAGTCATTAAAAATAAAATACACCAAAAGCCTAAGAAATATGTTTAAATCGATGCCAGGGCTTTATTTAGGAGCCGAATATACAGTTAAAAACTCTAGCTTAATCTGTAGATATCTGAATGTCTCGAAATTACTGTTCAAAGAAATTTTACTTTGCCTTGAAAACGTAGTTGCTTGAGGAAGGACACCCAATCCCCGCCTGCTAGAAATCCCCTGTCCTTTACGGCCGCTCTTCATAAAAATCTTTTCATTACATATCTGTGATCAAATACATACCATCAATCCGAAAAAATTGCCTAAAACATACATTTCATAAAAAAAAAAACAACACCAACATCTATCTCTATCTATAGTTAGTGATTGAATTTTTATTAAATGTTTGATTCATTCAATTGTTAAACTCGCCAAACAAAAACCAAGCTGACCTCTTATGGTTCATATAGAAATATTTCGAAGTGCTAGATATATTGTTTTTCTAAAGGCAGCGTAAATTATGGTTGATTAAATTTTCTATTTATATAACCCTATTTGCCTGTCCCCATTGATGATTACAATCAACATCTGTTTATCTTTCAATGTAGAAAGTGAATATCCTTGATATAAATACTATTCAAATATTAATTGCTAATAAATCAAATGTTTGTTAAAAATCCGAAGACTATAAAGAAATTCTAACCGTTCTTGAATTAAGAGCTCATAATAAACCAAAGAGGGAAAATAAATATTTCTTCAGTGGTCGTTAAAATTGTTCTTGAGTGTTTATTTTCCGTTATGATCAATAGAAACAATGGCAAAGGAAATTCTGGGTGTCTGAGTGACTGATAAATGTCTGAAGTTGATATGTAGTTTTCGTATTCATCAGTTATTCCTTTGATTTCGCCAGGGATTTAATTAGAAATTAATAAACTGATTTCAATCAATTTTCTCCTAGGTCAAGGATTGTCCAGTTAAGTAACATCTAGAAATTAATTAAATCCTTTTTGGTATTTTGAATATAGCTATTGTTTAAAAATTGAATGGTTCCAAATTAATTGTTACTTAAAACCCTTTTTAACTTTTTTAACTAAAAAAAGTAAAGAATGTAACTACGCATTTTAAAAGAAAGAAATAAAACCTTGACACAATACAATATATGAATTACAAATATATTCGTGTTTTTTATCTTAAAAAACATTATTTTTCCAAAAAAAAATTATATAATTAAAACAAGGAAAGTACCAAAGGTTATAGGGTTATATGGCAATAAAAAACTTTGTAACATAATCCACTAGATATTACAGATTTTCATTTCATTAGCACTATTCTTGTAGCTGCATGTATTTTAATATAATATTTTTCTTATTTGACTTCTATGATAAAAATGATGAAATGTATTGACTAATATTATCTTTTTCCAACGATGATACAATTTTGCGATTCATAGAGTCAGTTTGGCACGAGTTTTCAGAGAGTTTCTTGATACTTTTAAGTAAATACACTGTACCTTATTATATAAGACATATTTCATGTTGAAATTTTTTTTCAACTTAATATATCTTTATTTTTTGAAATAAAACACACCTTTGTATATAAGCAGTTTTAAAATATTGTTGTTTTGGTTTGTTACAAGAAAATTTTAGATTGGCACAACTAATTTAATTTGGTCGTATAGTGTCCTGTCTCATTTTTATAAAGTTTTATTCCCTTACAGTCTTTTCATCGACATAGAACTAACGTAAATAAAAGTAGGTTTGCAACGAAAAAATAAATTATAAAAAAGACAAAAAAGAAATAGTCAACATTTTCTGTCCTGTTCACATAATCTTCGGAGAAGGTTTCCGATTTCTGGTCTGATGTATTTTTCTCCTGAGTTTCGTTGTGTGAGGGAAGTTTCAGTTCCTCAACACAATTATCTCTCGTTTTTCTAGACTTGCATTTTGAAATATTTGTCCACGTTTGCTGTATTTTGTTAAAATATTTCATCAGAGGATTTGTTTTAGTATGATGACAATTAATGCTAAACGTTGTAGCAGTCGTAATAAGGGTACTGTATATAAGCATAGCCATCAGGTACATACAAAATACGGAGGTAGTATTACTTGTTTGTGGCATTTTATCTGCAACCAAAGTCATGTAGACAGCAAAGCTCAGAAGAACAGTCATTGCAAAAGACATCCGTTCTCCACTATCCACCGGTAGTTTGAAAACAATCACGTTAACAAACCCCAGAAAAACAACAGGAGCTACGACGTTTATCATGTGAAACAACATTCTACGCTCTAAGTTAATTGTAATCACCACCCGTTCTATATTTTTAGTATCCAAGAATTGTACCTCAGACTTTGTATTTCCAAGATTCCATTCTCCGTTAGTTTCGAAATCCAATGTATCCACCTTTGCAGATCCCATTCTAAGTTTCGATGCAGAAGTAAGAGTTGATAGATATATATTGCAGTGGTGAATATCGTTGGGATAGAAAGCTATGTCTGATGTACATGTTGTGGTAAAGACTTCCATGAAAAACAACCGAGCTTCCCCATTGCTCGAGAACTCAACCTCCTTTGTATCTGGGTCCCCTTTGTAGATAAGAAACTGCTCAGCACAGTTCAATAGGTAGAGATTCGGTGACCAGATTCTGCCAAGTGGAAGATTTAATTCACTAATGTTTTTGTTGGTTTGTGAATCCCAAGATAGTAGTTCGTCTTTCCACTTTAAAGCTATAGCTGTTACAACTGTCATATGTCCATCTACAACATTAAATTTGTTGAGAGCTTTCAGACTAAAATCCATTTCTAACTTGATTGTTTCACTTTGGTTTCTTTTTGGAATAATAGACCTGGAATAACCTTGAAGTAATCCATCTGTTAAGTTCTTGACATCGTGGTAATCTTCACCAAATAATCCAGAAAGAGCGCTGAAAATCGTTAAACATACCCGTGCTGCTTTTTGATATTTTCTCATGTTAAATTTTAAGAAAACTTAACATAAGCAAGATTTAGATACTTTTTTAAATTAGTCTTAATACATCTGTATTTAAAACGGTTTATCTCTACGCAGTTTACACCGGACAAATGCACAAGTTTCACTGAAAATATTTTTAAAGGTCACCAACTCCTGGTATTATTTCTGGTACTTGAGTTGTCCGAATCAAAGAAAGCTATTTAAACGCTCATTGTTTAAATACTGTTGCCATTGAACCAAAGAAAATGTAAAGTCGCATTAACAAAATAGGGAGCAGAATTCGTTGTTTTCTTTTTTTACCCAGACAAACTTAGAAGTAGTAAGGTATAAGGATGACATGCAGGGTATAATAGTATGAGTATACAAGATATCAGTCAAGATGTTTAACCGACCAAAATTTATATATTCAAGTTGCTTTTCTTGAAGTACCGTTTGCTAGGTAAAATAAAGACTATTTTGATTTATACATATTTGTATGATCTTGATACTGAATGCTTAAATTGTATTCTACAGTGTTTTTACTGTAAATTAATCAAGTGCAAATTGAAGTTTGTGTATTTTGCGCTGACTTAACTAATTTTAAATATATTTAAATATTGATTTATTAATTTTACGGAAGGAAAGAGGAAAAAAGAACAGGCAATAAACTATATGTTTAAACATTGCTAAATGATGTATTTCAAATCGGAGTCACCAAGTTAAAATAAGAAACATAGATGTGCAATGAAACAAGTGGAGATAACGAACAGTATTCGAGCCCAAAAGTCCATTTAACATTACAAAATAGGAGCAGAGCAAACACGGACCTCTAAGACATCAGAGGTGGGATCAGGTGCCATGGAGGAGTGAGCATCCCCTGCCGACCGGTCACACCCGCCGTGTGCTCCTTGTCATGATCGGGAAATAACAGAAAAATCCGCCGACAGTTCAGTGTGTAAATAAGTGTGTAAGCAATTAGTATGAAAAAAGTCAGTCAGCATTTGACTTAATGATAAACTATATTTGCTGACAAGGTCATTGTATCGACCAGAAAACTTACGAAATGATGACTTTAAACGAGACTGCTGATATTCTTGTTTTATCAACTTGTTTATTATTGAACTTAACTCGTTTTAGAAATTGTTCATACGTAGAGCATGCTAAGGCGTATCGAATCAACTGAGAGACATAAACCCCGTATGCAGGTGATAAGGGTATATTGCTGCATAAGTAAGGGAAGTTGACGATTGTAAAGTTAAAGTCATCACGTTTGTCATAAAGCGTTGTTGTTAAATTACCATTAACGTCTTTTTTTAATAAAATATGCAAATATGAAATAGATGTGTCAGACTCTGTGGTATCACTGAAATTACTATATGAGGGAAAATCCGTGGTCTAAGACCTATTTATCTACCAATTCCTTATTTTTTTTTGCCAGACTTCTTTACATTACAACATAAACTCACTAATGAGTAGACAACAGCCTGTTCAGACAAAACCCAATATTCAACTCCTTATTTCAAGCGTAGGAAAGAAAACTAATGTTTAACTACTTTGGAGATTAATAGGCCAAAACGTCATCAATGTAAAACATAGAAAAGACAAAACAATTGTTAGTTCGTTTTTGCATGTGAAGAACTCAAACCGAAATACATAACGACTCGCATTGTAAACTTACAAGATGTACGTGTTAATCAAGTTTCTAATGCATTACATTGTATTTTGAAATTGAAGGATAGATTATATAACCCCCCCCCCCCCAAAGAACCTGAGAATAACAACTAAGCAAAATGAATAAGTTAAGCAGAATATTTTTTTTTATATTTCAGAAATTTGATATTTACATCATTTACAATAAAATAGGTTGAAAATTTATATCAACCCGGGCATCCAATTTTTATGTTTGCATTATTTATATTTATCTATATACGTGTCTTATTCTACCAAGATCAATTCAAATTTTTTCTTCATGACAGAGAGAAAAGAGATTTAATGAATTTAAAAATGAAGAGATTTTATACGACCTTCATTTTTTATATATATCTCAATTAGAACTTTTTGTTGTTAATTCTGGATAGAAATAATTTTAAAGGACAAAGACCATATTTGGTCAAAATCAGCCTAACGCCAAAAGTGAAAAAATATTTCGATTTAAAAGGTTTTAAATATTTTTTCTTTAACACAGTGTAATTATTTTTCCTTTTTTTTTTGATTAAAAAAACCGCTTTTTCAGGGATAACATGTAATATTTGATATTATAGGGATTTCATAAAATAAAAATGACCAGGTTTCTTATGCAAAAAGTTACTCCGAGATGTGGTGAAATTCCCGATTACACTTGTTTTCTGTGTCTCAAGTACTTCTCAAGATACATAGATAGACAAAAGCTACTAGTATATGTGCATAGTCTTAACACATTGTCATCAGACATGAGATGAATATGGTTGTTTTGTTTCAACAAGTTCTTCTTGTAATATTATACACTGTTTTATAGCATTTCAACATAGTTGCCTCCAAATTCCAAAATATTTCTATTAACGGCCTAGTTACTAAAGTCTGCTAGAAGCTGTTATCTTTCCACCATCATTGCGACTTTTTGTTTCTAATGGTTGTCTTTTGTTTTTCCTTGCTAGGGTAAATACTTTAATGATTTCCTCAACTGGTGGAGCGATAACAGAGTAAGTTGTCGCAATAACCAGTGCGATGAAAAAGAACAACATCCAATTGTAAAGCTGATCTGCCGACAACTCCTCGAAAGCCAGCATGATTCCTGGGATTAAAACTACCTAAAATGCGAAAGGAATCGAATGAATACAAACTACGTGGTGTTAGACTTTTTAAAATTAGAAATGTCTTGAGATTCTATTACGTTTTCAGTTTTTGAAATAAACCCTGCTTTTTGTCTCTGCATAAAGTTATTAACCGTGCCCTGTGCCAACTGAAATAATGGAATCGTTTCAAGTCAATTAAAATATCACCTGCACAATTCCACACACCAGGGCTCCAATATACGCCATTCTCTTGGCCTTGCGGAAAATCAGCTGCATATCTGAGACCGTCACGTCCTTGCTTTTGTGAAAGTTTTCTAGTTCCTCTTCGTACAACATCTTCCATGAGTTTATAGGATTATCAATTGATATCATTTTCCCCCATTCCTTTTCTTCATCCGCTTTGCTTTTTATTGAGTGAGTTGCAAAAGAAACGACGATTGTGACCACGGTACTAACTACAAGTCCAGCAATGCATGCCCCAAGAAGACTGTAGTCAGATGAAGTAGTAACAAAGAAATCGCTCAATCCCGAATCATAAGCGACCTCAGCCACAATTAAAAGAGCAATAATTGATGCAATCAAGCCAGACATGGTTCCTATTTGAAGGAAAAGTACAAATATGTTGAAGAAATTATGTGATCAAGTTTTGATATTTGTGATGTGACCAATACTGCAATCTTTTAACTTACCTGAAATCAATCCTTTTGACGTGCATTTGGACCAAGTAAACGTCAGCACCAGAGGTGAAATGAATGGAGTTAAAAGAGTCTCCAAGACAAAGAATACCCAGGTTAAATTGAGATCAAGGTTTGTAATAACAATACCATATGGAATAAGAGCCAAGGAGATCCACATTATTGTCCAGCCTTTATACTGTTTCAGCATGTCCTCATAATGACGATATTCACCATGGACTGGGCATTGGTAGTGGAGCTGATAGTCTGGACGGCCTGAGGCACACAATTCAACATCATCAACACATTTAGAGCATTCTGTTGAATTAATGCATTTACAATATGACCTATTTTTATCACCGACGGAAAATTTCATTGCTCCGCAAAGGGGACAGGCTGAGGGTCCACAGTCCTTTCTGGAAAAAAAGAGCATGAAATTTTTTTTTTTTGATATCATTTTAATAAAATATTTGTTCATAAAGAAACATGGCGCATCAATAATTCTTAACTACCTGAAAGGACCTATATAGGTTTTAAAAATGTCGTAGATTATTATGGAAGATGCTGCAATAACTTCTCCAGATCCAGTGGCCATGAGCGCCATGAAGACGATCATTAAAAGTAAATATGATCCACTGGAATCCAATACTTTTTCCATTACAATATTTGTTATGAAACCTACAAGGAAATTATTTAGAAAATATCAGGACCTTCTAAGGCTTAAACAATCTGATTTTCAAAGTAAACAGCAAAGGAAAATAACTTCTCTCAGTAGGAAACAAGTTTCCCTACAATATCAATAGAGCCCTGCCCAGCACGAAAGCACTTGATCCAGAGGTCGAGAATTTCACAAATCCATTAAAAAACCCCTTGCTTACAACTTTGTACTCCGTTTACCTCCTCCATGCCCAGGAAGCAGAAAAGATTTTCAAGCATTTATGCTTTTCACTATATAATCAATAGGGCCCTTGGGCCCTCGCAATTTTTGAATTTCACAATTTTGAAAGGGGTGTCCTTTCTAAACATAACCATGCACTTGATTTGTTTGCTAAATACAAAAAGGGCAGAGAAGAAGATTTTAAAAGAATTAATGCGATTAATTTTACAAAATGATCAACAGAGCAACTCCCTAATACCAGAACCCCTGACCCTTGGACCAGGAATTTCACAAATTTCAAAGAAGCACCCAAGGTCATCATAATCATTTCCTTTATTTGCTAAATACCCAGGAGCTGAGATGTTTTTCAAAGAATTGAGCCCTTTAGTCCCGCGCTAAGACAAGAATACAGCATTCATGAAAATGTTGTCTCGCTTATAAATACAAAAATATCTAACTCGCAAAAAATAAGGTTTCGCGAAAATTTAATGATCTACAGTAGGGAACATGAGCGGAGAAGAAGATTTTCAATGATTAAATGTAATTTTCACTGTATTATCAATAGAGCCCCACCTTAACACCAGAACTCCTGACAGTGGGGCCATGAACTTTTTGGAAGAGGTATCCTTGCTCATTTTAACTATGTACTTAGTTTGTTTGCTACACATACAGGGAGGAGAAGCTTTTTAAAACAATTATGCATATTCACTATATGACCATAAGAACCCTGATCTAACTCCAGAAACCCTGATCCAGGGGCCAAGAATTTCACGATTTGATTAATGTTTTTAACGTTTGCATTAATTTTAATAGTTTTGGCCCCAATCCTAAGGCCCCCCCCCCCGGGGGGGCGGGGTTGGGGTTGGTGGTCATGAAATTCACAAATTTTATTCACCTTCACCACTAGATTTCATATGCCAAAACTGGTTGAAACTGGTTCAGCAGTGCCAGAGAGGAAGCTAAAAATGTTCAAATGTTTACAGACGACGCACGACGACGGGCAAAAACAAATAGCAATAGGTCACCTGAGTGACTCATGCGACCTAAAAATGACAGATGTTCTTGCTACGGGTAGCAATACAGGTATTATATGTTGTAGTTTTTTTAGCATTTCTCTAAGAACATTACATTTGAATTTGTTGATAATATGTTGCCTACATTAATTAAGAAAAAAAAAGTTTACCATTATCCATGTCGGACTGTGACAAGAGGTAGGATCCATTCTGATAACTAAGTGAAACATAAGAAAGAAATGTCGGTAGAGCCAACGAGGTCGGGATAGAAAAGTATAAAAAGCAACCAATGAGGAAACCAGTTACTCCTTGCTCCGGCTTGGCCGCTATTCTGCTCTGCCACATAGCTTGATCGCAACAATTTAATGCAAGTACCATGAAAAACGCAACGACTCCATAAGTAAAACCGGAGACGGAGCGAAAAGTTAAAAGTGAATCGGCAGCATTCAAAGAAGGTCCTTTCACACATCGAACTGATTCATATATGATCTTGATATCTGTGACATTTCTAATTGCTTCCGGAAGGTCATCAGTCGGAAAAAGAAAATGCCAAGAAAATACGACAAGGGCGATGCACATGAGGGAGGTGTTAAAATAAGAGATGTAGAAAGCTGCCCCCAGTCCCCCAATATAACAATAGGAACCAAACAAGAAGACGAGGATCAGGACCGATAACTCTGTAGAAATCCCCGGAATAACTGACTCTAGGATGTACTTTCCGGTCAATATCATGGACGTAAGTGTGATGAGATTTGTGGCTAGGGCAATACAGCAGTATAATATGTGAGAAGCCTTTCCATACCTTGCACAAACAACCTACAAAATTAAATGAAAAAATGGCATTACCCAGTATCACCAATTTAATATGAAACTGTAGGATGCATCTGATTATATTTCATTTACATTGCTAGAAGAGCTAATAGCTGTAATAAAAGAAAAAAAGGAGTCAATTTGCATTTTACGAGGTCAACAGCAAAGTCTAAAAAAAAAGTGAAAATAAAGTACAGGGTGTTTCATAATATATGTTACATTTTTAAATCTAATTATTTTTCTTACCTATCATAATTTTATTACAAACTATATATATCATTTTAAACATCAAATCCTGCATTTTCATTCCATATGAAAAAGTCAAGGAAATCATGTTATCACAATGATTAATTGTGACATAAACACCGATGTCAAAATTTCAATATTTTTCGAAATGGACTTAACTTACCAACATATTGCTGAATTGTAAAGCTGTTTTTTCAATACATGTCGCCAGTATTAATATTCATTCAGAAGTTGAGAAAGGAAATATTCGAAAGAATGGAAGCTTTTTAAAATGCTTATCAGAAGGCTATTAACAAGGTTAAGGGACAGGGACGAGCAATATGCGATAAATGACACGGTGCTCCAGAAAGCCTAAGGACCTCAATAATCGAAGATTTAATTGGTGAAGTGTAAACTCTTAGATAGTTTAGCAAACTCCTGAGAAAAGTGTCAGATAGATGTTTTCAGAAATTGATGCTGGCAATATCAGCATTTCCAGCATATATTGAACTTTGAAATATGATATGAAGTTATCAGTGTACAAGTTTTCAATAATGCAAAACCCCAAGAAAAGAGTTTGATCTCTGCATTCGCCAATCTCAATCTTTGGGCCTTTTTCTGTGGGGGTTCTTTAGGAACAGGGTCTACAATCCTAGACCAAAGATACTGAATGAGCTCAAAAGAAACATAAACCTTCAAATGAGGAGTGTCTAAGCAAAAATGTGTGACAAGGTTATACAAATTTCGAGAAGCAACTTTCATTTGTATTACTTTAACGAAAACAGTGAAGATAACGAACAGTGATCGATCTAAAATAAAACTACAAACAATACAAATCTGTGAACAGGGCATACAACACGGACCCCCGGAAATTTCAGAATTAAGTGGGATCAGGTGCCTAGGAGGAGTAAGTATCTCCTGCTGATCGGTCATACCCGCCGTGAGCCCTATTAATTGATCAGGTAGACGGAACATTCCGTAATCAAATAAGTAAAAAAAAAACAACAAAGGTCTAACAACTGGTATGGATCGAACACTTCAACCTAAGTACATCCCAATGATAGGTTTTAATTGCTAACAAGGTACTTATAACGTAAACGAACATAGAATTTACGAAATGCTGACTTTATAGGAGGTTGTTGAGATCCCTGTAACATCCCTGTAACATCAATTTATCTGTCAGTAACCTGCCTCGTTCTCAGAGCATGCTCTTGAGTATCGAAGAAGTAGGGAGTAGACTGTAGTTTTATTGTGTAAAAACTGCTGTAACATAGGAAAAGGCTTCCTTTATTTCTGTATGTTATCTTAACTGACTTTAGTGTACATGTCAAGTTTTTTGTAAAATCTACCGTCTGGGCATTTGTAATAGACCGTGTCAAAATGCAGGTACATTTACTATAGGAATAGGAATACTATAGGAATATATTTCGGCACTTCGAAGCAAATTCTAAAATACTACACATACACGTTTTGCAAAAAATGTAAGAGCTCTGCTATTTAGTCACCTTTCCAGACCATTCAGTTAACTGAAAGGTGTAGTTTCATTCTGTGTTACGTATTAAACATATATTACCTGTGGATAAGTTTTAGCACCTGGGGCTTTTAACTTAAAGTTAAGAGTTAAGCATGGAAATACAGCAATGATCATAGCCAGGCCAACCACATAGAAGTAGATGGTTCCAAGTCCAGACTGCAAAACAGAGAATTTCAAAAGATCATATTTGTTTTATATGAGGTTAAATTAAGATCCCTGTAAGTATAACACTAAAGCATAACATTCTTCGTTTAGTGGATTAATCTTATTTTCCTAAACCATCTACAGAAGAACAACGACAATCAGTTTTTGTATAAATTGATTTAGTTATTTTTACAACTGCGAATATTTCTCATGTGTCTTACCTTTGTAGCAATCACTGATGTTTGCACCAGATCGACCGGCCAAAGAACCTGGGAAGCTACGGTTACGGCAGTAAGACTTGTGGTCACGCGTCCCCCTGCATCGAACACAGTGTCCAGTCTGTGTTGATCTTTAAAGAAATAACGATGTATGGCATTGTGTATGAGGGCCACGATAATGGATAGACCTCCGAACCCGACAACAATGAACAGGGTGGCATCAAGTACTGGAAGGCCCTCGGTGGTGTATCTGAAGAAAAATGCATTTAAATGTTAATTTTGCGCTTTCTTTAACAAATTGCTAAATTGTGAATTACGAGCTTCAAAGCATGCTGCCCTGGGGATATTCAGAAGACAGTAAATACAGCTCAAAAAACTTCTTAACCTAACTTGTTTCTGTGTCAAATTATATGCACATTTCTGAAAGAAACGTCAAAGATACAAACAAAACATATGATGAATTTTGCAAAAATATTATTTAAAAAAATATTCTTGAATTATTTTAACTCTATAGTACTTACAGTGGTGAAATAGGCAAAAATAATGTGGATTTTTTTCTGACTGTAGAGGGTATGGGGCTTCATTAAGCCCCCCACCCTACCCACCCCCCTTTAAACACCGGGTGCAGGGGCGAAATTTCTGGAAGCTCCACAGAAAATGACAATTGAGGAATATTAGATTGAGTCTCATACTGTGTAGTGTGAAAATGATACTAGTACATAATTAACAAACTATCTTTGAACAAGAGGCCCATTGGCCACAACGCTTACCTGAGCAACTTTGTCCCTTCTGTTCTTCAATTTTCCCTCTTGTAATTGTGGCCCCACCCTACCACGGGGGTCATGAAATGAACAATTTAGAATCTAAACTACCCCAGGATGCTTCCATATAAGATTCAGCTTTTCTGGCCCAGTGGTTTTTCCAGAGGATTTTTAAAAGATTTTTCCTATATAATTCAATGAAAAACTTTGATTCCCTATTGTGGCCCCATCCTACACCCCGGGGGTCATGATTTGAACAATTTAGAACCCACACTACCCCAGGATGCTTCTATGTAAGTTTCAGCTTTTGTGGCCCAGTGGTTCTTGAGAAGATTTCTTAATGATCTACACCCTATTCTAGAATTAGACGCGTTTAAATAATCTACATTAATAGATCAAGTAAATATGGTGGCATATTTCTGCCCCTTGTGTGCAAGTTATTTTTTATCAAATATGTCGACATGCAAGATAAATATGTTGACATGCAAGATAGTTATGTCAACATGCAACATAACTATGTTGACATGCAAGAAAATTGTAATCAAATAAAAATTATAAAAAATCTTCAAAAATCTCAAATATTGCCCACATGTGACATCCAACATGCTAGATGCTACTTATTTATGTCAACATGCATTTTATTTATGTTAACATGCGAGATAAATATGTTGATATGCAACTTATTTATGTCTACATGCAACTTATTTATGTCGACATGCATCTTGGTTATGTTGACATGCGAGATAAATATGTTGACATGCAACATATTTATGTCGACATGCAACTTATTTATGTTTACATGCATTTTTCAGATACAGATCTGCTATGACCTTAATCTTAGACCTTAAAACATAGTTCAAGGTCACTGCACACCCTTTAAAAGAGACCTCAGACGAACAGATGGACGGACGGACACACTAATTACTATAGGTAGCCCGCAGAGAAGGGCCCTAAAAACGTTTTATAATCTACAGTCACGTTCTGAATCGCCAGGACATTTTATCTAAGGAAATCCAATTTATGCTTTGTTGTCCACCTCATATTATAGAAAATAATTTAAACTGCAACATTTGCTTAAATAAATTATCGATCATTAAAATCAACTTCAATTTTACCGACAGAAAAATAAAACAGAACCGTGCCTCATTGCACGTGTCCTGGGTAGTAACGAAACTGCACGCTCGCACAAATGTTCAAATTGTGTATCACATAACTTCTTTTGCATTCAAATTTAATCATTTAATTCAAAATCTTATCATTTTGAAAAATTGATCATATTCTAAAAAGTATATATCCAAAATGAAATCACAAATCGATCATATTCACTGTAAACTCTTTTGGGATTCATGGGTCTTAAGACATTTACATCGATTTGTGATTTCATTTTTGGATATTTACTTTTTTAAAATTATACATACATACATATATATATATATATATATATATATATATATATATATATATATATATATATATATATATATATATATATATATATATATATATATATATATATATATATATATATATATATACATGTATATATATATATATATATATATATATATATATATATATATATATATATATATATATATATATATATATATATATATATCCGCTACTCAACATAACTAAGTTGCATGTCAACATATCTATCTCGTATGTCAACATATCTAAGTTGCATGTTGACATAAACAAATAATTGCATGTTGACATAACTAAGTTGCATGTTAACATACGTAAGTTGCATGTTGACATAAATAACTTGCATGCCAACATTTTTATCTCGCATGTCAACATAAATAACTTGCATGTCGACATAAATAAGTAGCATCTAGCATATTGGAAGTCACATGTGGACAATTTTTGAGATATCTTAAAGATTTTTTATAATTCTTATTTGATTGCAATTTTCTTGCATGTCAACATAGTTATATTGCATGTTGGCATAACTATCTTGCATGTCAACATATTTATCTTGCATGTCGACATATTTGACAGAAAAATGACTTGCACACAAGGGGCAGAAATATGCCACCATATAAGTAAATGCTTTAGCTTCAGAAAAAGAAATGACACGCCATAGTTAGCAGCTGAAAAAGTATTTAGAAATAATATGCAATGAAAAATTTAATTTTTAGGATACAGGTGCACGCGGTACATGTAATTCTATAATATTTACAATTGTATTGAGAAAAACGAGCTTTAGGATACAGGTGCACGCGGTACATGTAATTCTATAATGTTTACAATTGTATTGAGAAAAACGAGCTTGGTTGAAATACTGAATGCACTCTGACAAGGGCATGCCGATAAACTGACAAGACAAAAATTATGTAAACAAGCACTCGACTAAAGCTCCCGGGTTTTTTTTAAAAAAGTTCTCTGAAAAGTTAAACCTAACTCATAGCAATCATAGAATCGCATTAAGGCTATTATTCGTATCAATGGAGGAGCAATTAAGTAATACAAAATAAAATATCAATCAGGAATATAAAAAATTGTAATTATTTTGCAAAATTCATTATAAATTTTGTTTGTGTCTTTGTGTATAGAAGCATTACATTTCTTTCAGAAATGTGCATATAATTTATTTACTAGAGCAAGTTAGGTTAAGAAGTTTTTTTTAAGAGATGTATACATGAAAAATGGAGGTCACAAACAGTTTTCAAGCTCAAAGTCCACTAAAACAATACAAATCGGGAGCAGAGCAAACACGGACTTCAAAAATACCAGAGGTGGGATCAGGTGCCATGGAGGAGTGAGCATCCCCTGCCGACCGGTCACACCGCCGTGTGCTCCTTGTCATGATCGGGAAATAACAGAAAAATCCGTCGACAATTCAGTGTGGAAGTAATGACTTAACAATTAGTACGAAAAACGACAGTCAGGATTTACTTAAAGGTAGATTGTATTCGCTGACAAAATCATTGTATTGACCATAGAACTTACGAAATGATGACTTTAAAGGAGACTGTTGATATTTTTGTTTCATCAACTTGTTTGTCGATAACTTGCCTCGTTTTAGAAATTGTTCATATGTAGAGCATGCTCTTGCGTATCGAATCAACTGAGAAATAAACACTCCATATGCAGATGATATGGGTATATTGCTGCATAAGTAAGGGAAGTTGACAATTGAAAAGTTAAAGTTATCACGTTTATCATAAAGCTTTGTTATTAGATTATCATTAACGTCTTTTTCTAGTAAAATATTCAAATATGAAACAGATGTATCAAACAATACGTCGTCGATATATCTAAATGTCGAGTTTAACGCCGCAGCAAAAGATTTTTTTCTCATGTATTAGATTTTGAATGAATTTTGCTTCGTATGAATACAAAAATAGGTCTGATAACAAGGGGGCGCAATTGGTAACCATGGAAATTCCAACAGATTGTTGGAAGACCTGGTTTCCAAAAACCACAAAGATGTTGTCAATCAGAAACTCAAGCATCTCTTTAATATCAACTTCAGAATACTTGTTTGTACAATCTGTTATAATTATGGAGAGATTTTTTTTAACTTAATTTATATACCATATTCTTAATACTCGTTTTAAAAAAATACAAAAGAAACGGGAAAATATGTTACATTTTGAAATTTGATACTACGTTCTCTGTTATAAACATAACATATATTTATTCCTCTTAATTTTCTAACACAATTGGTATTCTGTTTTAACGAAACTTATCATAAGCCATCCTTTATTTGCTCTGGTCTGATAAAGAACTGCTTTTCTTTCAAGTTGCATATAATTTGTAATCACTTCGAATAGAATGAATGAGCAAGAAGTGAAAAAAAAATATGTAAACCGTCTTATTAAAGCTAGGGCAGAATCACGATATGTTCAACATTTTATCAGACAAATTATCAGAACTTTTCAAATCCCCCTTACATCCTTTGAAGTATAAAGGAACAGCGTCTCGATTGATTGTATGTTGCTTTACGTCCCATTCGAGAATTTTTCACTCATATAGAGACGTCATTATATACCGGTGAAGGGCTTCAAATTTTGACCTTTACTCGGCACTCAGGGCCATTGAGCAGTGAAGGATCTTTATCGTGCCAACGCCTGCCTTGACACGGGGCCTCGGTTTTTAAGGTCTCATTCGAAGGACCCACAACTTTCACTTCAAATTGCCGAGCGCATGGCAAAGGAACAGTTGCTACCTATTTTTTATCGACTTAGGTCAGTCTCGGCCGAGATTCGAACTCACGACTTTCTGATCACGAAGCGAGTGCTCTACCGACTGAGGTACCGTGAACGGTAACAGCGTCTTCAAAGGTAGTCGGAATTTTTTTTTTTTTTTTTTTTTTTTTTTTTTTTTTTAGAAAGAATGCTATAAAAGCAAATTCTTTCAGTGTAATCTGGAATCAAATCAAATAATTTGAACCGTATGTCAAAAAGAAAAAAAGAAACAGGATCTTTTTTTCCATATATTATGTGCACCCAGGTGTGCCGTACAAACACTATGTTGAAAACCAGAGCTACACTGTTCAAATAATTATTTTTTTAAAACATATAACGATACGTTATAAAACAATGTATAAAAATATATATCGTTAATTTGTTTGTTATTACAGACACCATTTTATTAATTTTTAACTTTTAGTATAAGTAATGCTCTATATTACATGTATAGCACTGCAAAAAGAAATTATAGAATAACAAAAAAAATAAATAAAATAAAAATCCTGTCAATGTACAAACCTCCACTGTACGTTTATCATTAAATAACACATTTTTAAATTGTATTAAAATTCTAAAATAATATATCATTTCATACTTACCTCTCATTATTAATGGGATAATTCAGATCTATCTTACAAGACCGGTTCATTGTGATTGAGGTAAAAAAAAAAATGTCAGGATGTATCCTTCTTGTCTTACCAATTTGACCTTGAACTCTTGAAGTCATTGAAGCATTTAAAGTACATTTTATAATATGGAAACTCAATCGTGCATTTTATTGCCAAGTGCAATAGGATGTACAATTGATACAAGTTATAGATCTCATCATCCCATGATTAATTTATCTTTAATATTAAATGATTTTAGGAAAGGTACAGATATTTGGAAATTTAATAATTCCCTTCTTAGTGATGAGAATTTCTTTGTATCATTAATGAAGTCATAAAGAATGTAAAAAACAAAATATGTTGTCTCTATATATTTAATGGAATATTTGCAACAATTAAACGAAGAATTATCTTTTACAGCTCTCCTAGAAATTACTGAGAAACTTTTGTGAATATATGAATGTTATATATTGCATTAATAACAAATAATTAATATATTCCAATATCAAGTTTTAATTTAATAACAATCAACATGAAATATCGTAACAAGTAACAAGGAATTTAACTAACAACTTACGACTACAATCATACCGTTTCTTAGCCGCCATTTTTATTTACAATAACGATGCTTCGAACGGAATTGTGTGCCCCATTTTAATATTACCCCTGGACGGAGACGTAATACGGAAAATTTCCATGATCAGCTTTTACCCAATCAGTAATCTACAAATTTGTCTGAAGCTGGGTAAAATTCAATGTTACTTTTTGTCTATGACAATTTCACATATTTTTATGCTATATGCAGATTTCATTGATAACTTCCCTAAAATTTATTTTCTTTCCGTTGTCGACTTGTAGCAACTGTTTTTTCGCCATGCGCTCGGCACTTTGAAGTGAAAGTTGCGGGTCCTTCGGATGAGATCTTAAAAACCGAAGCCCAGTGTCACGGCAGGCGTTAGCACGACAAAGATCTCTCACTGCTCAAAATTTGAAGCCCTTCACCGGTATATGGTGACGTCTCTACATGAGTGAAAAATTCTCGAATGAGACGTTAAACAACATACAATCAATTGGCTGTTGTTCAAAACTGTTGTCCTTTTGAAAACAGAAAGCTTATTTAAGATATATGTATTATCAAGGGATTGTAAAACCTGTTGATATTTCTGAAACACTGAGTGTTTCACTATTTGCTTTGTATTGTGTGGTACAAAATATTGAAAAAGAAGATGAATTCAGTGAAATGAAAGTGTCTGTGGGCCTAGGGAACTACATGTAATATTAACAGATCAAAGAAGACTTGGAAATCTGCTCAGTAAAAACAAGATTGTATGTGCGTGCCTAGATTTCTTTTGATGTTTGATATAAATTAATTCCATGATTGGGTTTGTTCTCATCGTCGCAAACCACGGCCAAAATGTACGATCCTCTCCAGTAGAAGAGAGCTACATGTATATATGCGGACTCCGGACAGTGGCTTGAGACGATGGTTTGTTCTTTGCACAAAAATTACATAATTAGCAATCATTAGTCAATACTTTAGGTGTAATTAGACACGTTTAAATAATCTATATGAAATCAAGTACATGTATTAATGTCTGAAGAGGAAAATGATGACACGCCATAGGTAGGATTTGATAAAGTACTAGTATTTAGAGATAATATGCATTAAAATTTAATTTTTATTATACAGATGCACCTACAGTACGGGAAATTCTACGTACAACGTTTATAGTTGTATTGAGAAATACGATGCATGTGGCGATAGCTTGGTTTAAATATTAAATGCATTCTGACAAGGACATACCAATAAACAGACAAGACAACTAGAGCCGAGCTCGTTGCAATGCAACGAATAGGTCTTCCGTCGGAGCTCCAGACAGGACAGAGCGACCTTGAGTCAAGGTCATGCAACATTTTAAGGTTATAAACAATCCTGTAAGGGGCATCAACTTTCAATGTTTCAACAGTAGAAAGACAGTAAAGGAATGTAAAATTCCCCTGTCAGTGAACTTGAACTTGTCTAAATAACCTTGCGTCAAGCCATAACACATTCTGCAGCTTGTTAAGAGCAAACACCATCTTTATGTCACCGACATAAAAAAAATTCACAGTCACGTATTCGTTCACACTATTCATCCAAAACATCATATTCTAAGTGACCTCGAATTTAAGCCAAGGCGATTACACTCTGGATGATATATTTATCATCTTTTCAGTGAAATGCAAATGCATGCAATTTTTTCTATAACAAAATTATAGACCTTTTTGTTTATTTGTTTAAATGTTGTTTAACGTCCCTTTCGAGAATTTTTCAATCATATGGAGACGCCACCATTTGCCGATGGAGATCTGCAAATTTTGAGCTATACTTGGCACACATGGCCATTGAGCAGTGAGGGATCTTTTTCGTGCCAGCACCTACTGCCAGACGGGACCTCAGTTTGTACGGTCTCATCCGAAGGATCAGTCTCTGCGTCCCTCAGTGGGATTCGAACCTGCGACGTAAGGATCAACTCCTTTATCCATGACTCTAGAGCAGACACTCTTACCACTGCGCCACTTGGGCGACTAGACCTTTTTGAATTTTACACTTATTATATCAGTGACCTTGAACTTGCCTAAATGACCTATGTTAAGGTCAAAAACAACCTTTGAACAAATTACATGTATAAGCTTCCAGTGATACTCAATGACAAAGATATACCTGAAAAAGAATATTGCACTTTTCTGTCGGTGACCTTGAACTTGCCAGAAAGACCTTGGATCAAGGTCAAAACACATTCTTGGATCATAAGCAATCTCTGTATCAAGTAAAAGCTTCCAGTGATTTTATATTACAAAGTTATAGCATGGAAAAAAAATAATATTTATCTGCCAGTGACCTTGAACTTGCCGGAAAAACCTTTGTTCAAGATCAGGACAAACCCATCTCAAGCAATCTGAGAAAAAGTTTCCTTTGTTCTTCCCACCCCTTATAAATTTATAATCCAGGCACGAATTTTGCCACTTCTTCTGCCAGTCTAGTACTATTTTATCTCAAACCGGTGGATCATAAGCAATCTTACATACAGTAATCTTACACTTTTCTGTCAGTGACCTTGAACTTACAGGAATGACCTTGGATGAAGGTCGTGTCAAACCCTTTAATTTTGTCATAAGTAATTCCTGTATCAAGTATGATACTTGCTATTTTTTTCCAGTGACCTTGAACTTGCCGGAATGATGTTGGATCAAAACTATGACACAGTTTCGGATCATTAGTAATCTTTGTACCAAGTATGACCTTCCAGTTTCTTCATAACAAAGTTATAATATCCTTGGCAAACTATCACGTACAGACGGACAGCTAGGCAGACGGACAGTGTGATTCCAAAAGACTCAAAACACCCCCACCCCAAACCCACACACTTTGTTTGGGGGGATATATAAATTCCTATGTAAAATTATGAACACTCTTTCCGGCCCAAACTTTCTCCCTGGAATCAATATTTGAAAAAAAAATGAATGTATGCTATGTTGGAAATTTTCTCATTCTAGTCCAGGGATTCTTGAGAATACTATTTTCAAATGACCCCATGTGCAGATCTAGAGGTGGTTGGGGGCAGTTAAATGTATATACTAAACAAGTAAAAGTGACCATGCCCCCCCCCCCAGAAAACGCGGACCCTTCCTCGAAAACGCGGATCTGTGTTAAAATGGAATGAAAAGTCTTAGGTATGAAGCTTTAAAAGTCAACGACCCCCCCCCCCCCATACACACACACAAACACACACACGAAATAGGTTTTTCACGTTTGAGAAAAGAGTTTCTTTTTCTTTTTTTTTGGCTCGTCAAGAAATTTCTGGGTTGAAATATTTTTTTTATTGGCATCCCCTCCCCCCCCCCTTCTCCGTGGAAAAAAATTCCTTGATCTGCGCCTGGACCCCATCTAATTTTTACTACATGTATCCGTTAAAAGAGGATGTGACCCTTCATTTGAACAAAACTTTACCAAAAATATTCTGTGTTAATTTTCGTTGTTATGGTCCAGTGGTTCTTGATAAGATAAAAATGAGAAAAATTTACGAGTAGGTTTAGAACAACAACGACGATAATGCTTATATACACCAAGATAGCAAACAAAGATGAAGAATTATGAACAGCAAAAGCTTACTTGTGTCTTTGGCTTGGGAGATGAGATACTTATTAAAAATTGAAATTATTTTGTTATTTTTTTTTTACAATCGACGGGCCTGCATTTCAGAGAGAGAGAGAGAGAATATCTAACTAAGTCTTTGAATAACAGTGAGATCGGTTCAGAAAACCAGGTCCCTAGGAATGTAAATGTATATAAAATAGGCAGTGCCTTTCTCTCGGAATTCATCACCTGCTTCTGTAAAGCTCCATCCTCACCTGTACTTACATGTACCTGGTAAAACCAACCGACTGCGAAGGAAAACATTCTATTTATTTCGAGGATTGGGGTTTACATATAGTGATGAGAGGAAATTTATTCACCTATACGTTCATTAAATATGAAAGATTGCTTCTGAGTATTTGTATACGATCGCACGACTTTCATGTTAATTTATAAAAGTTAGATTATGAGAGCAAAGAACTAAACTAACATTTGTAGTAGATGAATTAAATACATGTAATTATTTAGCCGTTTATAAGGTTTTTTATAACATCCGTAAGAACCACTTTATTTTAAACAAGAGGCCCATGGGCCACATCGCTCACCTGAGCACATTAGCTAGACACAAATCAGTTCAGTATTGAAATGATTACTGGGGGTTGGGGGGGGGGTGAATTTTAAACTACCTGATGATGCTTCCATGTCAATATAACAAATGGCTTTGTTGTACTTGAGAAGATTTAAAAAAAAAATTTCCCATATATTCCTTTGTAAAATTTTGATCCCCCAATGTGGCTCCTCCCTATCCCAGAGGTCATCATTTGAACAAACTTGAATCTACACTACCCGAGGATACTTCCATATCAATATGACTAAACATAGCTTTTCTGTTCTTGAGAAGAAATATTTTTTTTATGTGTTCTTATGTAAAACTTTCAATCCCCATTG